GTCCCTTGTTTCTCGTCCGCCATGCGTTATCATCTACGGGTTATTTCTCAATATGAAGGGAGATGGAGGTTAGATTCTTTACATTGCCTTGGTACGTCCGGAAAGCGATGGTTCAAACAAGGGTCATACCCAATGCTTCAGGTCAAACGGCTACAGGAGTTTGGATATAGGATTATACCCTTTTCAAGTAGGCCTGATAGGTCTGCATACACGTTGTTCACAAGAAGGGATGACACAAGATGCGGAGAAATACATTCCTTTCAATATCAGGCATGTGTATATGGAATCTCAATTCCTATTTTTTTTTCGACATGTTACCAGGATTTATCTCTATATCTGTTAATATTGAACTCAGGCAGCATGTTGGATTACAGGAAGTTCATTTCCTGCGAAAGATGGAGCAGGGGAAAACACGTCAAGTTCAAGAATCGAATACTCATTGCAGGACCCGTCTGCAAAGTTGATTGTCACGGTATGCTATATATTTGCTCTAATAGTCGACTCAAGAGATACACAAACCCATCCCCGGAAGTACATCGCGGCAGTCCAATTCCCAGGTGACAAGTTCCTCTGTAACCCACCTCAATCATCCCCTGGTTATGATTATTTGTAATAGACGCAGTAGACAATGGAAAGGAAACACAAAACACAACTTTCACCCACGCCACCGTCCGCTTCAAGCAGGACGAGGCGGCTGAGGAGGCGGCTTGCCAGACGACCCCTGATGAGAGCCCAGCACCGCATCAAGCTTGTGCTCCAACCCCTTGCCCGTCTTGTCTATCCACTTCAACGCAGAAGAGCTGCTAAACAGCCGACCGCTCGAGCCCCCGGACTGCCGTCGAGGAGGCGGAGGCGCAGCACCAGCAGCAGCAGCAGCAAGAGGCGGCGGACTAAACACTCTCTTGGGCGGCGGAGGAAAGGCAACCACGTTCTGAGAGTTGAAGCCGGCAAACAGCTGCGGCTGCGCCGTTGATGGGCGCGGCGGCAAGGGAGGCGCCGCGTATTGGCCCTGCGGGTCCGGAGACGAGGGCGAGTTGCCGTTGGATGTTGCATACGTAGGCTGGGCCGGGTATTGGTGCTGGTGAGGCGCTATTGCTGGGCCATGTGGCGAGTGGTATGGAGAAGGAGGTTGAGCGAGTGGGCTTGGCGCGCCGGCATAACCAGGAGATGAGGGCTGAGCCTGTGGTGATGGCTGCGAATAAGGCTGTGGATAGTATTGATAGCCACCCATGGCTGCCTGCTGGTATTGCGGCCGCGGCGGCTGAGGAGGCGGGACCTCAGCCGAAGAGGCATAGGTAGGCTGCGGGATATCATAGCTGGACGTCGGCGGCGGAGGCGTGAAGTGCTGGGGAGACGGTTGGTACGCCACCGGCCCCGGGGAAGGTGTTGGAGCTGGGGGAGTGTATGAAGCAACTGGAGGGGTGGGAGCTGGCCCAGGATACAGGTTTTGCGGCTGGGCTTGGTTCATGGGTTGGAATTGGAAGGAAGCCATATTCGGGCTTGGGACGGAAGAGGTTGGCGCGGAATGGGGCTGTCCATAGGGTTGAAGGCCCGGAACCGGGCTTGAGCTTGGAGGATAGCCTGTGGCAGGACGTTGCATGGAAGGACTTGTCGATGTGTAATACGGAGTGTGAGGATAAGGGGACGGGGCGGGGACGGATGGATGCGGCGGTACCGCTGGTACAGGTTCTTGTATGGGAGGAGGAGGGGGAATGGGAGGGGGAGGAGGAGAGGGAGTAACTGCAGCGGCGGCGGCGGCAGGAGGACGAGGTGAAAGGGTAGGATGGGGAGGATGGGGAGGGACTGGGGGCGCGGCAACGGGAAGAGGAGGAGAAGGGCTGGATGCCGTCGGCGGCGGTGGTTGACTTGGCTGATATGACGGATGATGCGCTGCCAGTCCACCTGGGGGCGTTTCCGCCGAACCGGACGTTACCGCTGGCTGCTGCTGCTGATGCTGGCTTGGGCTCGGCGATCCAGATGCCACCCAAGGGGTTACTTGCGGAGGCGTCCCCTGAGGAGCTACGGCCTCTGTGACTGGCGGTGCATGAGACTGCGCCGGCTGGGGAGGCATCGCCGGAGCCAAAGATGCCGCCGCATCAGCCCTATGGTCCACATCCTGCTCGCCATGCCCAGCAGGACGATAGGGCCTATACGGTAGGACGGTGCCAGTCCCGCCCTGCCGACCCTGAGAAGAAGAAGCCCTCTGATGCTTCGCATTGAGCGGCGCAACGGCTGGGACACTGTCCGTCGGAGGGACGTAGGGCTTGAACGCCGGCGCGGCGGCGGGAGGCACTTGTTTCCTCGACACACGCAAAGGCGCAGGGTAGAACGCCGGAGCCGGCGGTGGCGGAGATGAAGGCTCGCCTGTTGCTGGAGGAGGAGGAGGAGGAGGAGGAGGAGGAGGAGGAGGGGAAGCGCCATCTGCGCCTTGTTCGTCTCGAGTATTGTGATGTAGGGGCGTTGGCGCTGCTGCCGGAGCATCCTGGCTCTCGCCCTTTGCTTTGTCGTGTGTGGACTCGTCGATCTGAATGCCTAATCCACCAACATCTTGCCCAGCAGCATCAGGCTTGCGCCCGCCTGTATCCTCACTTGGCGACATGGGCCCAAAGTACGCCCAGGGATTCGCCAGCAGCGGCTCAGCCTTTCCATCCGCACCTCCCCCCGTCTCCTCTGCCTTGCCGTTGGTGTCCATCCTTGCCCCAACAGCGCTCTCCGCGGCATCCCCTCGCCGAGACGAAGCCTCCGTCCCGACATCTTGATCCAGGTAAAACGGCCAGGGATTCGCCTGCATGCCGGCCAGCTCCTCGTCCTGCGCCTGCACCGGCCGCCTGCCCTGCTGCTGCTGCTCCGGCTCCGCCTTCGGCACCGCGGAGTCGCCGGGCATCTCAAAGACTTCGCCGTCGTAGCGGGACGAGTTCGACGGCGCCGCCGGCATGCGGCTGATACGGGTATTGGTGGTGCGCCATGGTTGCGCTCTTGTTCTCTTTCGAGCGAGAGGGAGCTCTCTTCCTCTGTCTCTCTCTCTCCCGGCCTCCTGTGACCGCCGTCGCTGATGCTATCGCTTGCCTTTATGCCGTGCGTGTCCGTCGCCGCAGTCGTAGTCGTCGGTTTCCTTGTTGTCGCGCAGGTCGGCGGGTTGTCGCAAGTCGCAAGCTGTTATCGCTATCGCAGACAGAGAGCTGTCGCCCAGGTGCCATCAAGCAATGCGCAGTGACCTCTCGACCATCTGTCGTCTCTAGTATCATCAGGGAATGAAGGGAAAAGTACGAAAAGTGTAGCGAGGCTGTCGTTGCGAAGCCTGCCTTATGTAGAGGCAGTAAGGTTTATGTTGGTACGACTACCTAAGACAATGAGGCTGAGGGATGATGTCGTCGGCGCAGGGTCATGTACTTGTACTTGCACCCGAACAAAGCGAGATAAAAGGCACAGACACGCAATAAACAAGCCACAGCCGTCTCCCACGCAGCGCCAGTCCAGCCACTCTCGAGCACGTACCTGTACATCTAAGCCCCCAAAAATAGACGGCACAGCACGCATCCTTCCTCTTCCAGTTACGCCTCATATTAGACTCAAGCATCCCTTCAGCCTCAGCCCCCGGCTCTTGTAGCATCAGGTACAGTCCAAGGATGATGGATCATCAGTGCTGGCGCATCGACTCAATATACAACTACATACAGGAACAATAAATAACCTTGAAAGTCGCTTCGACCCCCATGTCCGTTTGTGGGGTCTGCGACCAATTGCCTTTTTACGACGGCTGTCCATGTACACAACACATGTATCAGACGAGTCAGCATCTCGTATGAAAGGACGGCACTCAGTCTGAACATCGTAAACGCATCTGGAAAACGAACAAAAGACAAGTCATGATAATTCATCATCCCAAAAACCCGCTCAAATGCCCCCCCTCTCCCGTCTAAGCTACCTATAAATACCCAAAGTGTCCAACAATCCCTTTCGTCCCATTATATCAACGTCGTTCATTGCCCGCTCGCAAGAAAAAGCCCAACCACGCATTAATTCCATATCAAGAGTACACAGCAATGTTGAAAAACCGCTCGAGACCAAGATGCTTTCCCACTCCTGCCCCCCCAGCTCTCTCTTTCTCTCTCTCTCTTCTCCCCGCTGCGACATAAATAACATAAACATGGACATAATGTGACATACATTACAGAACAAACCGATTCCATCAAACAGAACAACAAAGAGATCAAGGAAAATGGCGTATCTCATCATGATCCAAAGTACACGAAAAGAAGAAAATCTCACTCATGGAAACACGAGGGCTGACTACTCGTCCCATGACACACACCTACAAGTCGACAAGACACACAAAGTCGAAGGGAAAACGGTTTCGTCGTCGTATGAGAGGCCCACAGCGCAAGGCTCTCTCATTTAATCGTCCCCAGCCTTGGCTCCGCGCTTCATCCGGCCGGCCCATCGTCTCTTTCCAGGCCTCGTCTCGAAATGAGGCGCAACGGCGTGGACGTCGGCCATGG